TGTGTGTGTGTGTGTGTGTGTGTGTGTGTGTATTTTTTTTTTTTTTTCCAAAGAGGTACGAAAAAAGATCTTCAAAATACACCGCTATCGTTAACTCTGCCGCCCATCTTACGGCAGATATTGATAGTCGGTAGTGTGGAGATTTTTACCTACTAAAAAAAACATTCCTCTTCCCCTCTCCCCTATATGGTACGGGGAGGACTGGATTGGAACCGCGTTAGGATTACTTCAATCCAGCCGTGTTGCGTCTCACGACGCCTACTCCTGGCTACTGGTCTCTTTCTGCGCTTTTGTCTTTCAGGAGCTGCTGTGCATAATCTGCAACAGCTGACCAGTTTTCTTCTTGTTTGATCATATAGGTCACCAGGCTTGGGGGGGAGGGCCTGCTGCCAATGATCTCTTCGGTGTTTCTTCTGTAGTCCTTCCACCGAGCACACTCGAATAATGTGTGTTCGGCGTCGTCGATTTTATCCGGGCAGTATTTGCATGTTGGTGTGTTGTGTAAACCCATCTTGAAGAGATAGGCGTTGTACTGCCCGTGTCCTGTCAGTAGTTGGGTCAGGAAAAAATCTGTGTCCCCGTGCTTCCGAGAAAGCCAGACGTTGATGTTTGGGATCAGTCGCGCTGTCCATCTGCCTGTCTCTCCCGACGTCCATCGGTCCTGCCACTCTTGCTGAAATTAACAATAGTAGTTGATGCATATAAATTATAATTACATTGAAGATGAATCAGCTATTTTATTTTCTTCAGCATTATTTTCCAAATAGTCGATATAATTGTTGAAAGTCTCATATTTAACAAGACTGTCATAAATATGAGGAGTATTCAAATAAGGATTATCTCCTGGCTTGGTGACATTATTTTCGAATTTCCCTTCATCATGTTTCAATCGCTCCAACAGATTAGGTATGTTGACAACATCACGGTAATGGTGGCGGTAATTGTAGGCTCTAGATTTTTCGTTAAATCGTTCGATTTTCTCGTTTAAAAGTTTGATCATGACTCTACACTTAGCGCAGTTACATGTAGGCTTTATGCCATTTTCAGCCACTAGAAAAATTTCAATGATGAATTAGTAAATAAATAATAAATATTTTAAAAAGTTGTATATTGTGATAGAAAAATGAAAATTATTTTTTCGTACTAAATTCCTCTAAAGACTGGCGCGGTTTAGAAGCCATCTTCTTCTTCTTTTTTTTTTTTGGTTTTCTTGACCTGGCACTGTAATATTAAATTGTTAAAATAATTAAATTTAAAATAAACATTGCATCTCGATAATAAAAAAAAATTTCTTAATTAAATAACAAATTAATAATAGTAATTAATGCATATAAATTATAATTACACTGAAAATAGATCAACTAGTTCATTTTCTTCAGTATTGTTGTCCAAATAATCGAGGTAATTGTTCAAACTCTGATGATCGATAATACTTTGATAAAGAATCGGAGAATTCCAACAATGATTATCTTCTGGCTGAGTGACCTTATTATCAAATTTTCCTAGATCATTGATCATCAGTTCTATCAATTTAGATTTGTCGGTAGAATGACAGTTAGGGTGACGAAGCCAAAAGGCTCTAGATTTTTCGTCAAAACGTTGGATTTCTTGGTCTAAAAGTTTGACCATTTCATTAAACTTATCGCAGCGACATTCACGATGCATGCCATACTTAGCCACTAGAAAAAGTTCAATAATTAATAAGTATTTAATAAATATTTTTAAAAGTCGTGTAATGTATTGGAAAAATAAAAATAATCTATTTCTTACTAAGTTCCTCTACAGACTGGTGTGGCTCAGAAACCATCTGGTGATCTTCTGGATTTGACATGGCTCTGTAAAATTAAGTTGTTATAACTATTCACTTTAAATTGAACACTGCAGGTTTATTATCAGTACTTTCCAACATAGAACTAATGTAATAATAATAATAATAATAATAATAATAATAATAATAAATTTGAAAAAATTTTAAAACAACCAATTAATATGAAAATTAAGTTAGCCGACATCTGAAAATTAAAGAAATTTTTTTTTTATTAAAAAAATTGGTACAAAAAAAATTATTAAAAAATGTCACTTGTAAAAAACTTGAAAAACTGTAAGTGCAATTTTTAAAAAATATTTTTTTGTTCTAATTTAATTAATGAAGAAAAATCAAAAAATTAAAAACGTCGGCTAACTTATGAAAATTAAATTAGCCGACATTTAAAAATTTTTAGAATTTTTTTTTATTAAAAAAAATTTTTATTTGTAAAAAACTCGAAAAACTGAAAGTGCAATTTTTAAAAAATATTTTTTAGTTCTAATTTAATAATTAAAAAAAAAAATTAAAAATGTCGGCTAACTTTAGTATTATCCAATTAATTACCATATAAATATTTACCAATTGCAGGATCAGAAAAATTCTTCGAATAATAAAATTCAAACAACACGCTATTATCCTGGAATATTTTTAAATTTATTTTTCAAAATAAATTTATCATGAAAAATATTATTATAAGCTTGGCTCTGATCTTGTCTGTACATGAAACCAACAAAACTGACTTTGAGCCTTAGAAAGAAAGCAGGCGTAATGGTGGACTAAACACCAAAAATGGTAGGTAAAAAAAATTTACAAGATATATTAGAATATTTACTAATAGGTATGAATGATAACTATGGAGGTAGAGGGTAGAGATACTATATATTTATTAATGGAGGGTAGAAAAATACTTAAGTAGTTCCTCCATAATAATTATGTATATTTATGAATTTTCCCGCAATTCCCAGATTGTAGCGCCACCAGCTGGCAAAACAGGTACTAAAATAAATTTCTCTGTTTTTTTAATTGTTATTATTACTTTCTAGACGTCAGTAACAACAGCTGACACTACAACCTCACTTTCCATATTTTAATTCGTATCATCTTAACAATAATGTTGATAACATTAATCAAAAATAAATAGTATTTTATATTTTATATTTATTACAATAATTATTACATTTAATAAGTGTAAAAGTGTAATCATGGGCAATCAGCTGGTTGGAATAGCACCAAGTCAAATTTTTCCAGTTGAACATTATTTGACAGATCACAGTGACCTATTGTTTGACATTAAGTGAGTTATTAACTTTATAAATATATTTTTAAATTATTTTATAAATTTACTTATTTATTTTTCTTTTTTTTTTTCAGCTTAGGAAGCACGAGATTCTTCAAAGTTGCTCGAGCGAGAAGTCAAGAAGGCCTGATAGTGGTGAAAGTTTTTGTTATTCATGATCCGACACTTCCTTTGTCAACTTACAATGATAAATTAGAAGAAATTAGATCAAAGCTTGCGTCAGCTGTCAATTGTTTGCCCTTTCAAAGAACTATAGTTGGTATTAAATTTGAGTTTTAATTGTTGGATATTTATGAATGTTAATAATTGTAATTTTTTTTATAACAGCTGACAGAGAAAGCTGGATTTATTATGAGAGAGTATGTAAAGTACTCACTGTATGACAGAATCAGCACGAGACCGTTTTTGTCGAATATTGAAAAGAAATGGATTACGTTTCAAGTTTTGTATGCACTTCATCAAGCTCATAAGGTAAGAATAATAATTATATATTGAAATCAGCTGACATCTGTCAATTTAAAGAATTTTTTTTAAGTCAATAAATGTTAATATAAATTTATTTGTTAATTATTTAAAAAAAATTATGAATTGCAGTTTGGAGTATGTCACGGTGATATAAAATTAGAAAATATAATGATAACAAGTTGGAACTGGGTATTACTGACAGACTTTGCCAGTTTTAAGCCTACATATTTACCTGAAGATAACCCAGCTGACTTTTCATATTTCTTCGACACATCTAGAAGAAGGTATTTTAATAATTTAAAAACAAAAGACATCTGTCAATTTTTTAGATTTTTATAACTAAATTATAGAAAAATTTTAATTTAAAAATTCCACTTGTCAAAATTAAGAGAAAAAAAAGTACACATTTTTTTAATAAGTCTGTGATAAAAATTAAAAAAATTGTCAGTCAGATAAATCTACATTATTAAGAGAATAAGTAAAATTTTTGTTAATTTTGTCACCAATAGTTAATTTATGATACCAAGTATTTAAGCTCAATTTGAAAATGCTCCATCTCTAGATACATAATCAAGAAATGACTTTGTATCTTGTGAACTATTGACATTTTCAAAGATATAAGCTCATTCTGATGTTACACTCATCGAGACCTTTTATTTGAGTACCCACATGGCAATTTTTATATATTTTATGTATATGGTATTTGTGAAATATATAAATATATAAAATATATGAAAAATTGATGTGGGTATTCAAATGAAAGGTCTTGATGAGTGTAACATCGGGATGAGCTTATGTCTTTAAAAATATCAATAGTTCACAATATATAAGGTCATTTCTTAATTATTGACATTTTTAAAGATATAAGCTCATCCCGATGTTGCACTCATCGAGACCTTTCATTTGAGTACCCACATCAAATTTTCATATATTTGATATATTTATATATATTACATATATGTATGTATGAGAAATATATAAAAAATTCATGTGGCTACTCTAATGAAAGCTCTTGATGAGTGTATCTTCAGAATGAGCTTATATCTTTAAAAACGTCAATATCTAAGAAAGTACAGTGCAATTTACCAAAATTCATTATTTAATAAAAATTTTTATTTATTTATAACTCACCAATTACGGCAGTTACATAGTGACTGCAAGATTGCTAGTATTATCTTACATAAATTTCTTTTCAGAACATGTTACATTGCACCAGAACGTTTTGTAAAGACTTTATCATCAGAACTAACCAGCACTTTACTGCTCCCAGAGCAAGAATTAAAAACCGGCGACTTACACCCTACAATGGACATATTTTCCGCGGGATGTGCTCTAACAGAGCTCTACAACGAAGGGCATCCGCCATTTGACTTTTCCCAGCTGCTAGCCTACCGAAACAGCGAATACTCAGCCAGCAAGCACCTGGACAAAATAGACGATTCCGGAATTCGCGATCTTCTGGCTTCAATGCTCGAAAAAAATCCTTCAAACAGAAAAAGCGCTGAGATTTATTTATCCCAGGCCCGAGGAAAAATCTTCCCGGAATATTTCTACTCTTTTTTGCAGTCTTACATGCTGATATTTTCCGCAGCTCCAATAATGTCTCCCGACGAAAAAATAAACCGCCTGAAAAAGGATATCTGTAATATAATAAACATATTTAAGAGCGAAGAAATTGTGTCTAGAAAAAATAGTAACAATGATGACAAGAGCGACAGCATGAAGAAGAGTATCAATGGGAGCAACATTGAGTTGAGCCGTGAAGATTCCGCAGAGCCTAGTGAGGAGAATACCATTATAGAAGGCGACAGCGATCAGAGTTTTGATAAAAGTGATGCTAACACTACCAGTGACACTAAATTGTCCAAGCATGATAATAACAAAGCAGTCAACCTTAACTCAGAAGAAACTCTCGGGACTTTGCAGAGAGACGTCGAAGCAGACTTGGAGGAGTTTAAAATAAAATCCGACAAGCTTGAAGGGTTGATAATAATAACCCAGCTAGTGACCTCTTGCATCCGCGGGTTGCATCACTCCCAATCAAAATTACAGAGCCTTGAAATTCTTTTGGAATTAGCAGAAAACACTTCGGACGAGACAATCCTGGACCGGATCCTGCCGTACATTTTCCACCTGGTCCACGATCCAGCGCCACGTGTCCGAGTGTCAGCGATTCACACGCTGACAAAGTGTCTCTACTTGGTGAAAAGCATCCCACCAACAGACGTAAACATCTTCCCCGAGTACATTCTTCCAGGTTTAGCTCACGTGACTCAGGATGAAGCAGTCATAGTCCGCGCAGCTTACGCGGAGAACATCGCACACTTGGCGCACATAGGTTCGTCAGAAACTGTACTTTCAGGAAAACTAGCGGTCGCTAGAAAATTATGTAGCATATTAAATTTATTTAGATAGTCTAATTAGCAATTGGTCTAACTTGTTATTTTTTAGAAGATAATTTTTTAATATTTTGATGTAGCAATAGTCTAATTATAAATTATTTAAATGATCCAAATCAAAATATTATACTTCTATTAGATATTGAATTGTTTTTTAAAATGATATTAAATTTCTAACTAATTGTTTTTTCGTACAAATAGAAATACGAGAATTTTTTCTAAAATAGAGTTATACAATTTTCTAATTAGAACGTCGATTTTACAAATAAGATAGTTACAGTCGACTCTGTCTAAAGGTTCCAGGTTGGAACAGGACCATTGTTTAAAAGGTTATCTTCCCTTCTCTGAATATTGCGCGTAATGGGTGCGCAATAGAAAACATTAAATTATTAACTCTGATTGGTTATAGACTATAGTCTACGACATTAGTAGTACTAATAATACTCAAGAATAGTTCCAGGAATATCCTGGAACCTTTGGCCAGCGTTATCTACGGAACCGTTAGACAGCAGGAACCTTTAGACAAAATCGACTGTATTTAGTGCTGTAAGATGGACGACGGAGTTCATGAAATGGTCCACCTTTACAAGCTTGGAATTGTTTTCAAACATGCTTGTAAACAAACACCTGGGGTAAGGTAAAAGAGCCAGTTATTGACACTGGCCTAGTTGTTTAACACTTGCAATTTTAACTCTAATTAAAAAAATTAAAATTTCTCAAAAAGCCAATTTTCTTAAAATTTATTATTCAAAAATTATATTCATCAATTTATTAGAGATGATTTATTTTATTTAATTAAAATAAAATTCCAAGTGTCAATAACTGGGTCTTTTACCCAGTATGTTTTTATTCGTCAGAAACTGTACTCAGAAAAACTACCGATCGCTACAAAATTAAGTAGCATATTAAATTAATTTCACAAATAAGATATTTTTTTTTATAGCCTTGAGGTACCTGGAGAACGCGCACCTGACCAACCTGGGGAACAAAGAAGGTCCGAAGCCCAGCTACGACAGCGAACTACAAACTCTCCACGAAATGGTCCAACAATCAGTATCAATGTTGTTAACAGACTCCTCAAACCTGGTAAAGCAGACCTTGATGGAGAGCGGGATCAACAAGCTCTGCGTGTTCTTCGGCAAGCAGAAGGCCAACGACGTGCTTCTGAGCCACGTGATAACCTTCTTAAACGACAAAGAAGACAAGCAGCTCCGTGGATCCTTCTTCGAGTGCATCGTCGGCGTGGCTGCTTACGTCGGCTGGCACAGCAGTCCAATCCTGATGCCGCTGCTTCAGCAAGGACTGACCGACCCTGAGGAATTCGTCACCCGGAAGGCCATCAACGCCATGGCGACGCTCACCGAGCTTGGGCTGCTCCACAAGTCTGCGCTGTACCAATTGCTATCAGAGACCGTCGTCTTCTTGGTGCATCCCAATTTGTGGATCAGACACGCTACTGTGGGCCTCATTTCAGCCGCAGCTAGAACACTCAATCTCGTGGATGTCCAGTGCAAGGTCCAGGCGATGATCCAGCCGTACCTCAAGCACTCGCTGATCCAGATTGAGAAAGAAGTTCTAGTTCTAGAAGCCTTAATCCAGCCGATTCCTCGGGTGGTTTATGATTCGGTGATTAAATATCATGATGTTGAGGAACTGTTCCGCGCGTTCGAGGAACGCAAAGCCGCAAGGTCCAAAGCTATCACTGGAAGCGTTCCGCAGTACAGTGAAACTTCCACGTCGCTGAGGAACCTGTTCCGGAGGTTAAGTTCCGAGTCTATGACTGAGATTGTTGAAGATCAGCTGCTAGCGATGAAATCTCACTTGATAAAGATCAACAAGTACAGAATTTCTGCTGATAATAAGCACAACGCCATGAAATCAGTAACAGAAGGCAAGCTTGAATTGAGCATGATCAAAGACTCAATTCGCCACCACGTGGTTGTTCTTTACCCGGACTCTAAAAATGATATTGCAGTTAATTACAAAAAATTCGACCGCAGAACTTCTGACAGTACCGGGAACTATACAATGAACCAAGAATGGCGGACGATGTTCGCAGCTCAGGATAACAACCACTCGAACAAAATGTCTGAGCTAACTAGCAGCAGTCCTTCTCCAACAATTCACAGCGGAGATATTCACCTATCACCGCAGCACAGTTTGACTGACATAAACAGCATGAACGACCATTCGCTCCACGAGAGGTCGTACATTCAGTACCGCTGCGCCCCCTGTAGGCTGGAACTGAGACAACTTACTTGCCGCAAGCAGGAACAGCACGCGGCGGCGCTCAGAGCGCAGCACTGGGCGGACAATATGGCCTGGCATGGAACCAGATTGTTGTCCAGCAGTTGGAGACCCAGAGGAGTTCCTGTGGCGTATTTGCACGAACATCGCGCAGCGGTTAACAGGTTAGTGTCCATTCCAGATTCCGGATTGTTCGCCAGCAGCGCGGCGGACGGGTGTGTCAGAGTTTGGGACGCGAGCAAGATGGAGGGCAAGAATCTTGCCAATAGGTCGCGCCAGACGTATGTTCACCGCGGTGGCCCTCTGGTGGGACTGGCGGTTTGCGAACAGGGCCAATCTCTGGCCAGTTCCGCGAGCCAGTCGGGGTCTTTGTTTGTTTTGAGGTTAGACAATGGAACCAGCAAGATGAACGTGGTTTCTTCCAAGCAGTTGGATGTTACGAATGAAGGGTGCGCTGTCGACCTTCAGTATTTAGACTCGGGCTCGCAGTCTGTGTTGGTTTACGCTACGCTTTATGGTTCGCTAATTGGCTGGGATTTAAGGTGTCCTGGAACCGCTTGGCGGTTGGAGAACGACCTTAAGCACGGGGTCATAACCTCTTTTTGCGTGAATAATTATCAGCAGTGGCTGGCGCTTGGAACCAGTTCCGGAGCTCATATCTGCTGGGATTTAAGGTTCCAGCTCCCGATAAGTAACATCAAGCACCCCACTGGCGCCAGGGTTAGGAAGGTCATTACCCACCCGACGGAACAATCTTGGATTATCTCCAGTGTTCAGGGGAACAATGAGATCTCCATGTGGAACTTGGAGACTGGGTTCCGCCAGATGGTGCTCTGGGCGTCCAGCGCGCCACCTTTGAGCCACTCTCAGGAAGGTCATAGTATTTGCGGAATGCACGCTGGTTCCACGGACAGGTCCGGGTTCCTCCTGGCAGGGGGCACTGACATGCGTTTGAGGTTCTGGGATCTGAACACGCCGAACGAGTCGTATGTGGCGCTGCCTGCTGCTTCTGATACTATAGCGCCAAATTCTTTGGCGTACGAACAGCGGCTCATTGATGGAACTAATGTTGTTCAAGAGGTTATTGCGGCTACTGGGCCGATTTCTACTGGCGCCAGAGTCAGGTCTGAAGAGGGCGTTGCGCCGCCATTAGAAGTGCCAAATCCGGGACACCATGATACTATTTCGGCGGTTGCTATGTCTAATACTTGTATTCTTACTGGTAGCACTGATGGATTAATTCAAGTCTGGAAGTGATATTTTTTTTTAAGGTTATGTGTTAGAGTTTCATTTAAATATTTATTGGTGTATATTTTATAAAAATGAAACAAACTGACTGTAAATCTCCTGTGACCTATTTAGATACTCTGGTAAGATTTAATATAAATTATTTTTGTACATACGTGTGAGTGTGTGAGTGATAATGATAATAATGATTATAAAATTGAAATGAATAATATATATATATATATATATATATATATATATA